TATTATTTTTATATAATATATATATTATTTATGTATTATATGTACATATATAATATATGTCATTTAATACATTTCTTTAATATTACACGTAGATAATATTGTATTAGTGCTAACAAAAACTTATTTTTTTATATAATAAAAGAAATAAAAAATATGGTTTTGAATTTGCTTATTATATATAGTGTAAATAATAATTTTAGAATTTAATTTTAGAATTCACTCATTGTCATTTTGGTTGTTATCATTTTGACCGCTGTCGTTTTTACCGTTGTCGTTTTGTCCGTTATCGTTTTGTCTATTATCGTTTCGTTCGTTGTCTCTATTTTTTGAATGACCATTTCTTTCTTTTCGTCCTCCAGCTCTGTCTGATGCTCCTGTGAACCAGCGACTTGTTCTAGATATAATTTCTTTTTCACTTACTGAAAATTTCTCGATTAGAATATCTACAATAAAATGCATTATCATTTTTTTATACTATATATATAATACACAATGTAACAAATATGATAATTGAAAATAAAAAGCACGTACCTCTTATGCATTCAAAGGCACGCGTATCGCAAAAACTTTTCTTTTTCTGTCCACCACTTTCACGTCCGCAAGCACTATATTGCAGTTGAATATCTTTGCTGAGAAGAGCTGTTAATATAGTCGAAATACCTTTCGTAACATTTTCTATACCTGTTATTTGATTCGCCATCATGACTTCCGGATATATTATAAAATGTAAACATTATATTTTTTCCAATCCTTTCATGTTTATTTAAAATAAATATTTTTTATATAACTTACATATGTTTCCTCTTTTTTTATGTCTAGTAGTAATTGCTCATTAAACTTTATAAACTCCTCTACATTATTGAATGGCAAAGTAACCGCCAAGTCCTTTTTACATTCTGTTATTAGTGTACCCAAAGGTCGACTAATATTAAGCGCTAACGTATTTTTTATGTCATTAATGCTTTTATGAAAATCGTATAAAATGCTTCTTTTCATGCTTTCAATTTCTTGCTTAACTGTCAATTCCAAATGATTTAATCGATCCATTAATTGTGCACAACAATCGTTATTACTATGATGTTTTGTCTTATTATTTATATCTGAAAAATAAGTTGTAATGATATAATTGAAAAAAATATTGTGTAATTTTACAAGTGCATATTTTAACAAAAATTGCAATGGTATTAAAAATCTATCAGTCTTTTGAATTATAAAATGTTCTGTCGTCCATAAACATAATTATATAAAATATTTAGTATTATTTATTACTATATTCAAATATAATGTATAAAAATTATTTCCGTGTATATTGGATCTTTATGTGACACAATTGCAGAATGTATCACATTAAGATGCAATATATGCAGACATAATTTTCATTTATTCATGTATACATAAATTTAATTTATAAAATAATTCTCTTTTTATTGACTATCTTGTACCTTTCTCTTGAATTTTATTATGTGTATGAAAAGATATTACACTAAGAAAACAGTTTGATAACTATTAAATTTTTGTTAAAATAGGTTCAACTGAATGTTTTGATTAATATAACCAAACATAATTATATCTTTAAAAGTTTACCATCCTAAACAGTAAACCCATTTGATAATTTTTGTTAGAATAAAATTATTTGATTATAATAACATTTGGTTGAATACAGACATCTGAACCTATTTAAAAAAAAATTTGATAGTTATTGTTAAACTGTCTTTTTTTTACAATGTATTAGGTGGACCGGAAAGTATGTCGTTTCTGCGCATGTCGATATTCATTTGTCATTTATCAGCTTATTGTGTACTTCAAGACAAACAAATATCGACATGCGCAAAAACGACATTACTTTCCGGTCCACCCAATACCTTTAAAATATGGATTTTCTTTTTCAAATCTATAAAGAATGATGTGAGGATTATTTGTACTTAAAACAGGGAAATTTTTTTGTGTGGAAAAAGATTTTAATATCTTTCAGATAAATCTAAATACTAAATATAGTTCTATATTACACTTTATTTTAAAATTATAGTTCTTTTCTAAACAATAAATTCACAATTTAAAAGAGATAAAAAACTGATAGTCATTAATAAAGAAAATTACGTTATGAATTAAAAAATGCAAACTACCCATTTTTACACACACAAATGTGTTAATATTTATATTTCAAACAAACTACACACGAAAGTTACGTTTATGATATTTTTATTGAATAACACACTTTTATAGTGTATATACTTTATTAATTATTAATTTTACGGTTATGAATTAAAATTTTAAAAATAATGAGATCAATATATACATTTTTCTATTATGTAAGTATTTTAAATATTAAAAATAATTTATGCAAAGTCTTATCGTGATTCACAAAGATTTTAAAAAATTATTTTGTTTATTTATAGAACTAATCTCTGTATGTGTGTTATGTGTGTGTATTGTAAATCGTAATATATAATAACTTAACATAAATCATCTTAATATGTATATTTAAAGTAGGTACTTTTATAAAAAAGTTAAGTTTTGGTATTATTTTGTAATATATTTGTCTGTATTTTCATAAAAACACATATAAAAGAATATTGAAATCTTTGATTTAGATAATTTTACCTATTTTTTGTATTACTTTTAAAGGCGATCTAGAATAATCTAGAATTTTTTATTTTATTTTTTATGTAATGTATCATAGAACTTTAGTGTATAATTTTATATGTTATTATTATGTCCCACAAAAATTTGAAAATTCTATAAAAAAGAAACTGTTTACTTATTTATAGATACATATACATATTATATTATATACTTTATATATTTCTAAAAGTAAAGTATTTACCCTTCAATACAGACTTAGCAGGAACATACGGTGGTACATCATTTAATACAGATAAATTCTCTTTTTCATTGAAAACCATAATGTCAGAATTAACATTTGTACTTGCTTCTTCACAATCAGTACTAGAAATGACTAAGTTTGTATATGCTTTTTTGAGTCGGCGTATGCCTTGAGTATAATCAGCTACACATAATCATTATAAATAAATTTATATAATTGCTATTTATAAAAATGTACCACTGAGTAAATCATAAATATAATAATATTTTACAAATATTAAAATATAATATAGAAGTATTGCAGTTATAGATAGTTCTAACTGTATCATACCTGCTTCTTTTAATATTATGACTTCCCATGTTTTCCAATTTTCATCTGGTTTTTTTGATATTTTTGTCCATTTATCCTTATTCCAATTTTTTTTTGTGGGAAATAACACATCCATTTATCCGTGAATTTTAACCATGAGCGTGGAACCAATTCTATTGATTCTCCATCATCATTATTATTTTTTTTTAATATAAATTGAACAATTACATGTGTTGTATCTTTATTAAATGTATTCATGCTAGAATAAGATAAAAATTTATTTCATGAATAAGAAAATATGATATACAATCATCAAGCAGAATTAAGGGTAATTATTTAGTATAGCCCCTCCCCCCTTTCCCCAAGTCAAATTTTAATAAAAATGTGCTCATTCGATGCATTTTCACTTAAAACGAAAGAATCTGGCAGAAAAATGTGTCGGTCGGCCTCGTGAATCGAATTATTAAGCGTTAAGGGGATCCTAAAGCAAACGCCGAACTCCGACGGAAAACGCCCTCTAATAAAATATCGGTAATACCGACATTTTTATTCCATTTCCTACTTACCACTCTAGCTCAGACTTAA